GTTCGTCGCCTTTGCTGATCTCCGCGTCCAAATGACTCCAAGTTGATCCACTTCTGCCGCTGCTCGACCGAAAAATCCGCTGAGTTGGAAACCTTTCGGAGCTTTCACTATCGCGCTGTTTTCTGTTTTCGTCCCTGCGGATATGGAATCACCGTCACTCGTAGTGAATTTTAGATAAAAGACTCGAATATGGGATTTCTTCTTGCCCCAGTGAATCTCCATTGAGTTGATGTACTCGTCTGTATCGAGCACTAACGTAGTTGCTGTCCCGCCACGGCCTCCATGGTCCCAAGTCGCTTCAACTGGCGTCGCAACGTGTGTCGAGACGGCGTCTATCCGTGCAGCACCTCGCACTGTGATAGAGCTGAGTGTTTGTCCTAGTTTGATTGACGACATGTCCGAGAACGCATCGCCATGTGGGCCGCCGTAAACTTCGCTGAGCTGGATGTCTTCGTCCAAATATGTGTGGGTGGCGGCAGCCTCTATGACGCTCGCCCCGTATGCGGCGATGGCAAACAGGAGCGCCACGCCCTGGAGCACCGTTCGGCGCGGCATCGCTGCGGTTAATTAAGACCTCAGCTTGGCCACAAGACGCCGAAAAGTATACTGACATCAGTGATAGCGGGTAGCACCGGCATTGCATGCATCCTCTGGTTCAGGATAGGCCAAAGGATCGTGGTGAGACTCGTGCCAAGTGCATAAGACATGTGCATTGAACTCCGGCTTGATACATGTACCAGTCACGTGAGAAAATATACACAATCATGTTATAATATCGTTTTACTTTCGTTGTTAATTTTCGCGAAACAACTCAAAAGTTACTCAGAAAACGAAAATTACTCTGCTAAATTAGGCCGAGTAAGGGTATATCGACATTGTGAGTCACTAATTGTGACTAGCTGCATTGATACGGACGTGCATGGTCAAGTGTCCGCCCTGAGATGCATGGGGGATCCAAAGTACTAATGATCCACCTCCTGATCCAGGAATCCCAATAGTATTCGATCGCCAGCGATCCAGGTACAAGACTGTGCCTTGTAACGCCGAAAGCGTCGATTTCCACGTCACATTCTCGCCTGCATTCACCTCTACATTGGCAAATTTGTCACCTCCCGAGTGAATGACAACTGTAACATCCTTGGTATCTGTGCTCTCGAAGATAAGGTTCATGACACCATCACCTTCCTTTGTCCATGTTCCGTAGCTGCCTTCGAACGCTTCATCCACTGTCGACAGTCCTAGCGCGTCGTACAGCGTCCCGTCGTCAATGTCACCAATAAAAGAAGTCGGGCCACAAGTTGGCTGCACGAATTGAGACGCCATATAGGCAATACCGGTAGGGTCCAGTCCACCTAGAACGGTAAGTCCCATGTTTGCCACCTCCACCATGTAGTCACTCTCCTTAACGGAAGCTCCCAAGTCAGTCGTAGTTGTCTCTATGAGCTGATCGATAATAACTCCGAAAGTTTTCCGAAGCAAATCTCGCGTCTGGAACGCCGTTTTTGAAGTCTTGGTGGACAGCAATTCGCCCATACAGTTGTTGGTAGCTGTCGGAATGTCGTTTAACACAATCGAAGACTTGCTGATGACGACGCGGATATCATTGGCAGTAATGCTTGGCGTTGCGTTGCGAATCTCGTTAACTGAGAAAATAACGTGGTCTGTCAAGTTCTTGAGTTGATAACCGCAAGTCGAGTTGGAATCGATGAGATCTTGTAGTTCTTCAACTGTCGTTGACGCTGTGGAATTTGTCACTCTTGTGTTTGTAAGAAGAGCCAAGACGTTTGTAGCTGAAGACAAAATTTGGTCTCCGTTGGTGATAGCTTGCTTCACGATAGTCTCCACAATGGTAAGAACAGTGTCGGAGAACTTGACACTTGCTGGGACTGGAATGCCAAGGCAATTGCACACAGTAATCGGCAGATCGAAGAGCACCACATCCGATTGGTAAGCTACTGCCAACATTTCCTCGACATCTCCCGCGGGCGCTGTTGTTTGAGTGTAGCGAAGGTAGTAGATCAGAGACTTCAAAACGCCAATGATATTCGATGCGCACAGGAAATTCTGCTTAGCGCTCTTGTACTGGGAGAAAATGGCGTTGAATACTCCTGCAGTCGCAGTATTGAACACCGCCGCGACTACTGAAGCAGCTTTCGTGAAAATCTCGAGTGAACAATCGTCATTTTGCGGGATACATTCCAGATAACACACCACGGGGTATGACATTGGACATTGAGTGATGCAGTTGCTTTTGTCCTTTGCATAACCCAGTGGACAGGTTTTCTCACTGTCAAAAGGTTCAGTCTTCCTGTAGCACGCACTGTCACTAGCTTCGCCAATTGTGGGGCCTACCCAGTTCCGGATTCTGTTGCCGTACCAGTCGGAGCCCATGCTATCCGTAAGCGCTGTAGGTTTAGCATCAATTCTCGTCCAGATAACCCCCAATTGGTCGATTGCACCTTCAGCCCGACCAAAGAATCCGCTGAGTTGGAAACCTTCGGGTGCAACCACAGTTGTGTTGTTTTCGGTTGTGGTTCCCCCAGAGACTGAATTATCTTCACTAGTGACAAATTTAAGATAGAAAACTCTCGTGCTCGTCCCCTTCTTGGCCCAATGGATCTCCATTGAGGTGACATACTCGCCGTCTTCAAGTGTAAGTGTATTGTCTGTTCCTCCTGAACCGCCATGGTTTAGCGTCAACTCAGAGGGACTTGCAACTTGGAGCGTCACTGCGTCAACCCGGTCGCCGGCACGGATTGTGAGAGAGCTCGCCACTTGCCCAAACTTGACCGAGTTGATATCTGAGAACGCGACTCCATTAGACCCACCGAGAGCTTCGCTTAGCTGGATGTCTTCAGCTGCAGCTGCATGCAGTACACTGATAGCCACGACGAAGACCAGGAAAGCCTGGAATATCGGCAAGGACGGCATGTCGACGAATTTGACGTGGTGCTTGTGATAGCTTCGTCAGAGAGCTGTTGATCAGCGAAAATGATGTGGGAGACGTTCCTCTCGTCGCGAATTTGCCACCAATTCTGGCGAAAAGTACGACCAGAAAAATACCTTGGATAGGACGCGGGATCTGCAACCGATGCGTGATCGCGGGCGTGACAGTGCACTCCGGCTAGTGGTGACCGCTGCGAACAGCTTGCAGTCAACTGCCTTCTGCAAGTTGTAGTTCTTCGCATTCCACTTCAAAGTTGCCAAGATGTGATACTGTTCTTGTTTTTGTAAAGAATATTTAACAATGGAGAATTGTTTATTCTTTAAAAAAAAAACACTCAGCGTTTTATTACCATAGAATTTACGACAAGTCACTTCACTAACTTCCATTTACCAGGACATGCATTGTTAGATGACCTCCTTTCGAAGGCCCTGGAACCCACAGTTTCAACGATCCTCCACCCGAACCAGATATCCCAAGCAAATTTGGTCTCCATCGATCCAGGTACAGCACCTTGTCCTGCAGTTTAGCGACGGTCGAATTCCAAGTCGTGTCGCACCAGCATTTACATCAACTTCCGCTACATTTTCTCCACCAGAGTGAATCACCACCGTCACATCCTTCGTATCACTGCTCGTGAACACAAAATTCACAATGCCGTCTCCTTTCTTCTTCCACGTGCCGTAGCTCCCGACAAACGCTTCATCGGTCGTTGTTAGGCCCAATGCGTCATACAGCGAGCCATCGTCGATTTCACCGATAAACGCTGTAGGTGCACAAGTCGGCTGGACGAACTGGGACGCTAACCAGACGATTCGTGTCGGATCTAGACCGGCTAGCATCGTTAGCCCCATATTCGTAACCTCAAGCATATTCTGCTGTTCCGCGACAGATTTTCCTAAATCTGTGGTGGCTGTCTCGATCAACTGATCCACGATCACTCCAAACGTCTTGCGTAATAAATCGCGAGTCTTAAAGACAGCTTTTTGTGTCTTGTAGGAAAGCAACTCGTTCATGCAGTTGTTCGAAGCAGCGGGGATAACTTTCAGCACTAGGGAAGATTTGCTGATTTTGACTCGAATGTCGTCTACCGTGGCGTCCGGAGAGTTGTTACGAACGTTATTTACTGAAAGAATGACGTGATCTGTGAGGCGTTTGAGCTGGTATCCACAGGTTGAGTTGGTATCCATGAGACCTTGCAGTGTATCCACACTGGAGTGTGTAGAGTTAACTACGCTGGCATTCTGAAGAAGTTTATACACATTTTGTGCAGAGGATAGAATCTCGTCGCCATGATAATAGCTTGCTTCACGATAGCCTCCACGATCATCATAACCACACCACTGAATTGTAAGTTCGTCGGGACGGGAAACCCAGGCAGTGGCAAACTGCCACGGGTAAATCCACAAGTATGATACGCCACTGCGAGCATCTCTTCGACTGCTCCTTGAGGTGCTGTCGTCTTCTGGAATCGGATGTAATAGATCAAGGATCTGATAACCCCCACTATATTAGCAGCACAGAGAAAATTCTCCTTCGCTTTCTTGTAACCCGTAAAAACCGCACCGAATATACCAGCCGTCACCACATTAACTATTGAGGCTACAACAGCCACAGTTTTCTGCGTGATCTCCAGTGTACAGTCGTCATTCTGAGGAATACATTCCAGAAAACACTTGACTGGATATGCCAATGGACATTGAGCCAGACTGGTATTTCCGTTCTTGGTATAGCCTGCTGGACATGTTTTACGGCTATTGAAAGGTTCGGTGAGTCGATAACACGCTGTGTCGCTATTTGTTCCGATCGTAGAGCCCACCCAGTTGCGAATCCGTTTACCATACCAACCTGTATTCATCCTGTCTGTAAGCTTTGCGGGTTTTGCCGATCTTCTCGTCCAAATAACTCCAAGTTGATCGACTTCACCTGATGCTCGACCGAAGAACCCGCTAAGTTGGAACCCTTTCGGTGCTGTCACTGTGGCGCTATTCTTTGTTTTAGTTCCTGCTTGTAGTGAATTTCACGTAAAATACTCGCGTACTGGTACCCTTGTTATCCCAGTGGATTTCCATTGAGTTGATGTATTCGCCTGGATCGAGAGTTAGAGTGTATCTCTTTCCGCCATTGCCTCCATGATCCCATGTAGCCTCAGTCGGTGTCGCCACGTGTGTTGATATGGCATCGATTCGTTTTTCCCCGCGAGCTGTAATGGAACTGAGTGTTTGTCCGAGAGTGATTGACGAAATATCCGAGAACGCGTAACCTTGAGAGCCGCCGAAAACTTGACTGAGTCTCTTATGTTCTCATCGATAATAGTTCGCTCATTCGTGCGGGAATCTGCGATCGTTATCCTAGTGGTGATACTGAGGAACGTCAAAACCTGCAGCACCGCAATGTGCGGCATAATCCCTGAAGGAACAACGTGGGCTGCGAGGATGGCAGGTCGACAAACGCGAAATGTGAGCAGAATGAGCTAGTCGCGGGATCTGCTGGTTGAAAGGAACGATAAACAAAGTATCAGCTGTGTAGGTGAGAATATCCGGCTCGACGATAGGTGTCGTGCCAACTTGTCCTCAAGCGGAATACTCGACAGGATAACTTGCTCTTCGAGTTTTTTTCGTGACTTTGGTGAGACCGGCGACTACAATATAGCCATGTTTTCTTGCAGCTTTGTCTAATGCTGGAGGATACAGTATATATGAAGCGTACCATGCTTTGACTGACATGGAATTTTCGTCACATGAGTCAAGAGTGACTTCGCGATTGTTTCTTTACATTTGGATATAAAAAAAGATAAATTCGTGTTTGTTAGATAAGACGCTGGTACTAGCGTAAAGAGGAAGCTCTAGCTCTAACGCGATAGCTTAGCTTGCGTTGATTCGGACATTCAGAGCCAAATGTCCACCCTTGGAAGACCTCGGTACCCACAGCACCAGCGATCCTCCACCTGACCCTGGAATTCCAATAAAATTTGGCCGCCATCGATCCAGATACAGCGTCTTGTCTTGCAGCTCGGCTATTGAGGCATTCCACGTGACTGTCTCGCCGGAAGCCACTTTCACCTCTGCATATTTGCTACCTCCCGAATGGATGACGACGTTGACGTCTTTCGTGTCGATACTTTTGAATAATATGTTGACCATCCCGTTGCCCTCCTTGGTCCAAGCTCCGTAGCTGCCTTCAAAAGCTTCGTCCACGGTTGTTAACCCCAATGCGTCGAATAGAGTACCGTCGTCGATCTCTCCGATAAACGACGTTGGGCCACACGTAGGCTGGACAAACTGGGAGACCATCCAGAGAATACCCGTCGGATCCAGACCTGACAGCACGACGAGTCCAAGGTTTGCGGATTCGAGTGTAGCTTCATCCTTGGCAACGGAAACTCCCATGTCTGTTGCGTTCGTCTCTATCAATTGGTCAATGATGATCCCCATGGTTTTGCGAAGCAAGTCTCGTGTCTGGAACGAGGCCTCTGTGGTCTTGTTACCTAGAATTTCACCCATGCAGTTGTTGGTAACGGAGGCCACATCGGTTAATACAAGCGAAGATCTACTGATTGTCACTCGGATATCTTCGCTTGTGGCACTCGGTGTTACGTTGCGGATACTTTCAATGGCAGTACTGATGCGATCCGTGAGACTTTTTAGTTGGAATCCACAGGTCGTGTTGGAGTCGAGGAAGTCCTGGATTTCGACTAGTGTCGATTCATCTGGAGAGTTGAGTGCGCTGACATTCCGAAGAAAAGTCATCACGTCAGTCGCAGAAGATAAAATCTGGTCCCCGTTGACGATAGCCTGCTTGACGATGTTCTCCACTACTGCGATCACAACACCAGTAACTCGTGCGCTAAACGAAACCGGAAGACCGAGACAAGTGCAGACTGCGATGGGTAGATCCACGACAACAACGTCAGTCTGGTACGCCACGGCAAGAAGCTCTTCAACAGAGCCTTGGGGAGCCGTGGTTTGCTGGAATCTCAAGTAATAAATGAGTGATTTGAGTACACCGATGATACTCGCAGCGCACATATACGTCTGATGAGCCTTCTTATACGCAGCCTTGACTTCACCGAACACTCCTACAGTTGCAGTGTTGAAAACTACCGATACCACCGACGCCGTCTTTTGCAGAATTTCCAGGATACAATTGTCATTTTGTGGGATACATTCCAGCCCACATTTGATCGGATAAGACAGTGGACACTGTGCGATACAATTGGTGTCGGTCTTGTTGTACCCAAGCGGACAGAGTTGACTGCTACTGAAAGGCTCTGATTTCCGATAGCAAGCTGAGTCAAGGGCGTCGCCGACGGTGGGGCCCACCCAGTTACGAATCTTCTTACCATACCATTCCGAGCCCATGTCGTCTGTGAGATACAAATGTGAAGCATTTATCCTCGTCCAAATTGCGCCCAATTCGTAGACTTCAGTCCTTGCACGACCGAAAAACCCGCTGAATTGATAACCTTCGGGAGCGTCCACCGTTGCACTCTCGTCGGTCTTCGATCCAGCCCCAACCGAGTTGCCTGTGTTGGTGTATAATCTCAAGTAGAAAACCCGTTTGGATCCTAGTTTCTTGGCCACGTGGATTTCCATCGAGTTGACGTATTCACCTTCACTGAGAATGAGAATGTTGTCCGTTCCGCCTGAGCCTCCGTGAGTCCATGTTGCCTCATCGGGTGATGCCACTCGCACGGTAACTTGGTCAACGCGTTCATCACCGCGGACTGTAACGGAGCTCAACATTTGCCCTAATTTGACCCCTGAAATGTCCGAAAACGCGATACCCTTGGTACCTTCTCCGAAGGTCTCGCTCAATATGATGTCTTCGTAGCAGAAAGCGGCTCCATAGTCGAGAAAAAGTAACATGAATGATAGTATGTTCACCAGCATCCAATTGGCCATGATGACCATGGAACTTATTGAATTGTGGGAATCGTGAATGCGTTTATCGCACCAAGATGTCCACGGGGGCAGTCAACATGGTACTGTACATGTACTCTTGTATGTGCCCCTCCGAGGGCGAGGGGCTGGCGGTCACGACACAAGATCAGAACAAGGGTCAACCTAAAGGATCCGCAAATCTCGTTATCAATTCACCTCCTTAATCTGGTACGACGGAGTTAGTGCTTCAATTGTATTGAAGTATAAAGCATACGTTGTATGCCTGTTTATCTTGATGTCTGCAGTTTCAAGAGATTTTATTATGGCCGACGCAGCGAAGGTAGGATCAGCTTGGTAGTGGCAAAAGAATGTCTGTGGTGCCGGGTAAAGACGTCAAGATGTCACGAATTCTTGGCTATCCTAGGGGTCAGCGGTGTTTTTGGACTCCACGAGAGCACGGCGGGTACAACAGCATTCACCATCACATATCAGTTGATTATTGATGTTTATGACCAGTATTTTGCTAGAATGTTTGGCATCGCAGACCAGCATCAAATGTTGAATCCCTTCATAGGAGTCCACGTTGGAATCTCTAAGATCTCCATGCTTGATGTTGCCGTTCTCGGACAGAGGTATGCACCTGTAGTATCTACTGGGCATGCTTGCCACTATTGAGAAGTGAGCAGAACACTTGAGGTATGGTGAAATGTACCGGTGGCCATCAGACTGCGGTGGTTGATGCAAAGTTGTTCAAGATGAAGTTTTTCATCCGATTCAATCGGCGCACCCGTCGCTCGCTAATTTAGAAGGCTGAATCGAACTCGAAACTCGCATCGACGCCTGCGCAGTATTGCGACTAGTATAAACCTCCATCTTCTCGGTGTACGTTAGCAGCGTAAAGTGTCGGTGCAGTTTGCAAATCCTGGTTCTTGTCCTACAGATTCAAAGTTCCTCCCATTACTCGAACCGACTGGATGTATCAGGATGTCTGTCGAACGAAATGATCAAGCGCATTGTTTAACTTCCTCCGAGGACGCGAACCATGCAGCTATTCGCCGTGCTGCAGACGTTGCTGCTCCTGTTCGTCGTAGCTGTCCACGGTGCAACCTCGGATGAGGATATCCAGCTTAGTGAAGCGTTCGGCGGGTCCGGAGGCGTCGCGTTCTCGGATATTAACCTGGTCCAGTTCGGCCAAACCGCCCACACGATCACGATCAACGCCAAGGAGCGGATCACTGCTGTGATTCTGCGGGTGGCAACACCAACCGAGAAGATTTTCTCTCATGGCGGATGTAGTGGAACGGACAGTACACTCACTCTCGAGGAGGGGGAGTACGTTAACTCTATGGAAATCCACTGGGGCAAAAAGCTGTTGAGTACACGGATCTCTTACCTCAAATTCAGCACCAACAAGAACCGCTGGGTCGCTGGAGGAACAGAGACCGCTGACCAGTCCAAAATCACCGCTCCTGAAGGTTTCCAGCTTAGTGGCTTCTTCGGTCGTGCAGAGGGCGAAATTCACCAGTTGGGTGTGATCTGGACGAGAATTAACGCGACAACTAAAGCCCTAACTGATGTAATGGGCTCTGCATGGTATGGCGATCGGATCCGGAACTGGGTGGGGCCTACCATTGGCGATGCCGCCGACTCAGCGTGCTACAGGAAGAGGGTATTATATGGCAGTGAGAAGTCCTGCCCTCTAGGATACAGCGCCAACGGCATCAGCTGTCTTGCGCAGTGTCCGATAGCGTATCCCGTCGACTGCTACGAAGAGTGTATCCCTCAAAATGACGACTGCAGTGGGGAAATTCTCCAAAAGACGGCGTCTGTGGTGTCCGCAGTGTTTAACTCAGTGACTGCAGGGATATTTGGCCTTGTGTTTACGTCGTTCAAGAAAGCTAAGCAGAATTTCCTCTGCGCTGCTAACATTATCGGCGTCATGAAGTCCCTCATCTACTATCTCCGCTTCCAACGCACGACAGCGCCAGAAGGAACGGTCGAAGAAATGCTCGCTATCGCTTATCAATCCAACGTCGTGATCTTCGACCTGCCGATCGCTGTTGCCAATTGTCTGGGAATCGATGTTTCCATGAAGACAATTATTGCCAACATCGTGTACACTGTCGTGGAAAATATTGTCAAGCAAATCGTTGTCAATGGCGACCAGATCTTCTCATCTGCTGCCAACGTCTTAGCGCTTCTCTCCAACGCCACCATCATCCAAACTACTACCGACGAATCAACCGTTGAAGAACTCCAGGACTTGCTCGACTCCAATACTACGTGCGGGTATCAATTGAAAAATCTCACGGATCATGTCATTGCTACGGTTCGCGCCATTCGCACCAAGACTCCTGATGCTACGGTTAATGACATTCGCATCCAAATCAGCCAGACCCCAATTGTTCTGCGGGATATCCCCACTGCTACCAACAACTGTATGCGGGAATTGTTGAAAAACAAATCTACAGAGGCTGCATTTGAGACTCGCGACCTGATCCGCAGGACTTTCGGAGTGATTGTCGACCAATTAGTCGAGACGAACTCGACCGATATGGGGCAATCCCTCGCGGAAGACGACTACACTCTTGACGCCACTAATCTGGCCTTAGTGGTGCTTGGTGGCATGGATCCTACCGGGATTGCCTGGATGTTGTCACAATTTATTCAACCGACTTGTGGCCCCACTGCGTTTGTCGGAGAGATTGACGATGGGAATTTGCACGACGCATTGGGCCTCAAGACGATGGACGAGGCGTTTAAAGGCAGCTACGGCACGTGGACGAAGGAAGGGGATGGCAAGATGAGGATATACTTCGAAAGCACCGACACGAAAGATGTGACGGTAGTCATCCACTCGGGTGGGGAGGTTTACACGAAAGTCAAAGTTCCGGAAGGAGGTACAGTAAAATGGACCGAGAAACTATCCAAGCTAAGGCCATGTACTTGGATCGCTGGCGCCCGAGTGCAGTTGGTGTCCCCATATCAGCTGGTGGTTCGTTGGTTCTGTGGATCCCTCGGGCATATGATAGCGGACATCTTACCATGCATGTGAGGATCAATGCCAGTTAAAGTTCAAAGTAAAAAAAATGCTACCATTGTTCAGTTAAAACGATAGATTTACTGAAAACTTAATCCTCATCTTCGCTAGAATCCGAACCTTCTTCTAGTGACATCAGTCCAAGTAAAATGCGGCGACAGACTTGGCGTTCATGCTGGCAAAGCTGATGGATGGCATTCACTTCAGAGGAGGCCTTTTCTGAAGATTCAGACAGTAGATCGCTGTACCGCTTGTCCTTCTCTTGGAGAACTGCGGCCAGAGCATCGTAGAGTTGCTCAGTAGACAAGTTGGAGGCCATCACGAAGCTCAGCAGTGCATCGCCAAGTCCGAACTCTTGCTCGGCGTCTCCATTTAAGGAGAAGAACAGAGCATTCTCATCGTTGTCTGGGTGGGCCAATTTCCGACGCTTTGCTGGGTTTGCTTTAGCCTTTCCTTTGCCTTTGCCAGTACTAACGTGCGGGACATCGTCGTCCACGTCCTCATCTTCATATTCGCTGTTCAAGGCCTTGAACGCATTCGTCAGCTCGGAACTCGTAATGTGAATCGAGTCGGACGGCACCAGCGTAGGCAGCACGAAGCCGTAGCGACACAGGAGCTACGAGATTTACAGAAACTTAATTGTAAATGGCATATCCGAAGACTAGACACAGAATCATTCAGCAACTACCTGTGCGTTGGACAGATTTCCATACGATATCGTCACAGGTTCGCCATTCTCAACTTTACGCAGTGCAACCAACTGTCCAAAACACTCGAACATGAGCTACATGACCACAGCATTGAATCTGCCACAAGAAAATGCGCACCTGGAAGCTACCCGAGTCGGTTTTGACAATATGAGCAGCCGGATTCTCCGCTGAGTGGTTGGCCATGTCAATTACCGGAAGCAGCGTCGGCTCCGGTGCATCCGCGACCTTGAAAGCACTGTATGCACCAGCACTTAAATAAGTAAAATGTCCAACAGTTTTTTCAACGTTGTTTCACGTATCGTACCGTGATGAGACCATCGAGTAGGCCCACTGGAATTTCTTCAGCGTCGACACTTCAGTCGGCCAAATGGCCGGGAACTCTTTCGTCAACG